TCATCAAAGGGTATGAATTGAGAAGAAAATCTGATGATTGGTGATGAATTGAAGTGTGTGAAGAAGAAATGAAGTGAAAAACATTTAATTGAAGAAATGCAGTTCAAGACAATTTTGACACGTTTCTGTATTTCGGCTATATCTAGAGCTACACAGATCGGATTGAGGTAATCTTTATACCATTTTAAAGCTAAGAGATAGCCCTACATTTGGTATGAAAACAGCGAAATCCAATTCAGCCGTTTTCCTGGTCAAAAAGTCGAAACACAGAAGCTTATATGTATGGTCGAGAGTTGAAACACAGAATTGACCAGTTTGTGGTATTTCGATCATATCTCCATCCACCGATCTCTAAATTAGATGATTCTTGAAGCATTGGAATACTGAGTCAAAGGGCTACAACTTTCATGTTTTGTACAATAGCCAATTTGGCGCCTATCATAGAGAAAATTGCAGTTGAAACAAGGTCAAAAGTGAATAAGAGTTTTGTAGCCGAAATTCTGCAATTTGCTCAGCCATTTCTCTTATGTTCACACTACTTTCTAGCTATATTTGGTAAGAGAATTCGGCTGCACATGCTTATGATGCATAAATGAGGAAAATATGGTTTATTTCCAAGTCAAAAAACCATAGTTTTTTACTTCCTTAACAAAAAGGAGATTTGGGGAATCAAAGGGTGAAAATTAGACCGGTGGAGAGGAGCTTTTGAGCAGTTTTTATGCAGAGGAACATGAGAGGTCTAGACAGAGAGATAGAGAGCAATTTTCTGGCAGAACATATTCTCTCTAGTTAGCAAATTTTGCAGGAACACTTGGAGACTTCATCTTGTAATCATCTAGTGCAAGACATAGCAGAATTTTTTGGGGCTTCACCATTAACTTGGCTAAGCTTTTCTTTATCCTTCTTGTACTTGTAACTCATGATGTTTTCCATTAATGAAGTTATGAATTTGATTGTTATATCATTCATGAGTAGCTAAATTTCTGTATATCTAGGGAGTAGATGAAATTTATGGCCAAGTGATATGAATTGAATGTGATTTACACTTGTTGCATCTTGTATTAACTTGTCTTCTTGTGCATATTGATTACTTGTTGTTGTTTGATCACCAATAGCAGGTTTATAGTTGTTATTACTCAATGAGAATTGGTAATAATAATGGAATAACATGAGTAGAGCTTGAGTTGTAGATTCGTGAGAATAGAAATGCATTCAAGTGGATGAATTTTGCATTTCATGCATGAACAAGTGCAGATTTAGTTTTAATCAAGAGATTAGAGAAATCTAGACTGTTCTAAGCCTTAATATCATGAGAATGAAATTTTGACAATTTTGGAAATGAATCCCTAGTTAAACAAGAGTAGTAACAAGTGTTAAATTCATTCATTTGGATCTTTTGCGCTATAAGTGGAATCTATATTCCTAGATTCAAGTCTGTAGTGAATTTTCTCCATTTGTAACTTGCATTGATCTAATCAGATTGTTGGAAGTAGCATTATAATATTTCTACTCCAATTTATTTTTAGTCTAAATAATAGAGTAAATAAGGACCTAGTACTTGTTTAATTTGCTTCTCGTGGGATCGACCCGATACATGCCCTATACTACTTGATTGACCTGTATACTTGCAGACAATCGGGTATAAAATCGGAATTAAACTTGCACTTAGATCAAAATGCCGTTAGTCACTACAAGAAAATTGGTCTTTTGTGACAACAAAAGTTCATCACTAAAAGCTGCGAAGTCGTCATTATATGGATATAGAGACGACTTTTTCTTTTGTCACATGGTTGTCACAGATTCTATGTCACAAATGGATCCATGTGACCACCTTTTAAAGTCGTCACAGAATCTTGTTATTCAATGACGAGGAAAAAGTCGTCACTAAAGACATTTTGTGATGACTTTTCTTGTCACTATTTTACCTATATTTTGTCATAGATGTAGCAAAAGTTGTCACAAATTTTAAGTTTACAGTGACGACCTAAGCTTGTCACTATCAGTCCCATTATTCAGTGACAAAAATAGTCATCACTTAGTGAACTTGCAAATCAACTTTGTTTCGAAGAGCTGAAATTGAACATTACGAATATAGCATTTTCCAACAAATTAAAGCAAAACATTCAATTTGATAAAAGGCAAAATTAATGTAGAATGAAGTCACAAATTAATATATATGGCCACAAACATCTGTAAATTCATCAAACTAAAAGTCAACCAAAAATATCGGGTCCCAATCCCACATAATCAGTTCAAGCACTAATGGCCAATACATATCCTTCCCAAAAAAATAGAGTACTAGATTTCCAAACTAAAGCATAGATTGCACCACCAATGTTAGACTTCAACCATCTCTATCATCATATCCAACAGCCTCCTCATGAACAATATCAAATTAGACTGCATCGAAAATAAAGTATTATGTGCATTAGAATAGACTTTATTAAAAAATATGCTATTACAACCTTACACAACTAAATTGAATGAATGGTCATACACAACAAGACTCCAACTACTGTTAACTTGATAAGAAGTAAAAGAATCAGTCAAAAGAGTTTCAGCCAAAATAAAGAGAATATCATCAATTACTTCCAATAGCTTATTTGGTAGACATATTTGCATAGCCAGCAAATTCGAAATATAAGCGATAGCATAAACTGTGTTAAGTAACTCTTTCATTTGGGCAATCAAATCCTCACACAGCCCTCTTTTTCAAGTTGCTGCTTCTGCAAGTTCTTAATCAGCTTGGAGTAAAACTGGTTGCTTGGATAGGGCTCTTATTTTCCATCTTCCAATAATCATATAAAGGTATCAGTTTTACTTTCATTCATATTGAACCTCTCTCCACTATGTTCTTTCTAATTGAACCAATTCCTTCCCTCTCCCTGCCCCCTGATTGTGTAGTGCCTATGTCATTGAACATATCATTTAAATCTTCAATATCACTATCCTTTTCTTCATTCTCGTCTTGATTAATACCCTTCTCAATTTCATGTCGGAATTGTTCACCTTGGTGTATCCATCTAGTGTATCTTTTACATTATTTCATGGGATCTTAAGATGTTTTGCCTTCTAAGAATATGCAAATTTAAGGAAAGCAGCCACAGCAAGTTTATAAGATTCATCCTTTCTATTACCAAGTGTCATCCAATTTTTGTCCATGTCATAGAGTTACAAATCTATTCAAGTTTATCTAAGCATTAACAAAAATTGAAGAAGCCAAAAATATGCATACTTCACAATTATAGCCCACTGGATAGCATAAAAGTACAGAAAAAGTTCAAGTACTAACCTTGAATCTAGATGCTAATGAGGCTGCTACTCTTTTATGCTACTACTGCCATTGTCAAACTAAAAAATGTTAGAAAATAGTAGACATCATTGCAAAGTAGAGAGTTTCTTCAACAAAATTAATCAAGTGCAAGAACATTCAACCATTGATTACTTAGACTATCAGAAAGAAAAATAGAAAAATACCCTTACAACCTCAAATGTTTGACAAATCCAGTTATTAAAATTTTCACATCATTTGTTGCAATTAAAACTATGTACAATTAAAACTAGGCACTGCTTTAATAATATTATAACTATTTAGTGCCTCGAGTTAGTCTAAAAATGTCCAACATTATTTGGAAATGCACTTTGGCCATCGACAAGGGAATCACAAATCGTTTCTTTTCACTTTTAACTACATAAACTGCAACATAGCCCTTCGAAACATCTTTCGAAGACTGTCTAAGGATTTGCTTAGCTTAAAGAATACGAGGCAGATGGATGGCCATTACTCTACTGGATGCTTTGTTGTATAGGTTGAGCAAAGAAAGGTGGGAAGACTTGCGGGACAAAGTAGAAAAGCCTTGATCAGAATTTGTGGTAGCTTATGTTGATCAAACAAGTTAGAAGGGTATGTATAGAAGGATCACAAATTTGTTCTCTTAGTGCTGTATCTATGGCAAAGACCAAAGAGGCATTGTGATGGACATTATTGGCAAATAGTTGATGAGGTATCACATGGTTATGTCTTCTACTCATGATCAAGAATTTAGAATAGAACCATGTGCTGATTGAAACCTTCAGGGCCTACCACTTCCTTCAACAAGAAAGAGCAAGTATGAAAACAAGAAGTGAAAACACAAAAAGAGCCAGTATGAATTTCAAGAGAACAAAACAAGAAGGAAGAAAAAGAAGAAAAAGTCAAATGAATTTCAAGAACTAAAAGGGAAAGTATGAACAAGAAGGAAGTGTGGAACAGTGGATTGCTAACATTCCTCCCTTCCATAATGTGGCAGCAAGCCCGACCAAAGGATTTAGAAAAGTTGCAAAATGTTGAAGTTAATTCATTCAGGGATTTGTCCCACCAAATTTTTATGAGCTGTACTTCTAGTATACAGTCTGAAATTGTATCACCATGACTGTGGTAAAAACAAAAACAGAGTCAAAATTTTCCCATAGTCCTTTCAACCAGATATTCGTGCAACCATGAAGCTGCAGTTTCAGTAATAGATTTATACCTTATGCTGTGGTTAATTCTAAGTGAGCATGAAGCCAACAATAATTTATTTATAGACATAATCTTTGTCAGGTGAATGTCATCAAACAGTTTGTCAATCATCAAGGTGTTCAGTAAATTATATTCTATTTTTTCCCACCGTAGACCAAGTTCACCTTGCAAATGAAGGATGTCAGAATTCTTGACTGCTTTCAATTTTAAGAGTCCTGACACCATGCCTTCCCAATTACTCGTGTAGAATGAAAGGGTTTTAGAAAACCTCAGCACTTGAAGCACTTACCAGAAATTTAAATTTTTTGGAATTCTAGTAATGACAAATAATTGAAAAGAATAAGCTTCAAATAATCATAATGTTAAGCCTTTATGAATGAAAAGCAACTGTACAAAATGTAATCTGCATGCACTACATTACAAAATTGTGCTCTGATATCTCGATTAACTAGTAGTATTGTCTAATAATGTGCATCTTACCCTTTCCTGGGCTGATACCCTAGCTGTCCTTAGCCTTCTCAGCATCAGGGTAAGCCCCAATTTTCTTGAGAAGACTGATAGCATTTGAGGTTTTCTCTATGGCCTCAGCAGAATCGGAGATCACACAGGGGATTTGCAGGACAGACTCAATGCGGTGGCAGCAGGCCATGACAAGGGAGGCACTGCAGAGGCGGCGATGGCAGAAACCACGGCATACTATTTCTTGTTGACTGGGACCTTGCGGTGCCAACGGCGCCAGATCTTGGTCGGAGCAAACATGCGGCCACCGCTGCACATGTTGCCATAGGCACCCTGGCCGGCACGGTGAGTGTCGCCGCCAAGAACACAAGAGATACGGGAAACAACGCGACCAGTACCCCAGGACTCGGCGGAGGTTTGGTGGCTGACGGACCTAGAGACGGCGTAGGGTTGGCGAGAGTTCTTGGAGATGTCACGATGAACGTCTTGGAGGATGTCGGGCCGGATTGGGGCTTTCATGACGTCAGGCAGAGGGAGGGAGTTGGCGTTGGCCTCCATTTCATTCTCAAGAGGGATAACGGTAACTACAGGGAGAGCGGCGGCGAAGCCATTTCTGATGGGGGTGAGAGGTTTGAGAATTGGTATACTGCGTTTTAGATGTCTTAAATTTTGGCTAAGTCATTAGGACATAGAATCAAACGGTGTCGTTTCCCTAAAGTCCCTTCAGCCCGCCACGCCACTTGAATTTTTTAGTTTACCCCTCTTAGTTCCGTACATATGAAAAGCACGTCTTTTCCTTATTTAGATGCAAGAAGTGCACGCTTTCTTTGTTCTTTCACCTATCTCTCCCTTTTTTCTTTTTCTCATCATTATGTAATTAAGTTTTTCTATTGTTTTGAGTTTTATTTTTATTTTTACTCTCAAATTGTGTTAAAATAATAGAATATGACAATTTAGTGTGTTTGGCAGATTTTGTTTTTACCAATTTTAACTAATATAGGACTTTTTCTAATTTATTATACAATAAAATAGTTCAAAAAATAAAAATGTTGTTAGAAATATGTTTACGATTAAAAAAAATATGCACTTTTTAATTAAAATCTTTTTGGTACTCATTTTGTGGTGTTATCAATTATGTATGACTTGCAGTCTCACAAGACCTGACAATTGAATTAGTTGATTGAACAATCAAAATAGTTTGCAAATACATGTACGAAATGTTAAATCTATTTATTTGGTATATATACCAATTCATAAATGATAAATATGGCTTCTATAATTAATAACAACCTTTTGATCATGCAAATACTAGGATTAGACTTAATTTCATGTTAAGTTTTATTGTTAAATTCTATTATTGACTACCTCTATTTTTAGATTATCCAAATTATTAATTTTTCACCATGTTGTCATTTGGATAAATGGGGAATGTATGAATTTTTTTACATTTATAACAAATTATTACCTAAGTTAGGGAAAATTATAAAATAGGTATACATATATAGTTTATTAAGATACCTTATATAGTTTGCTAATAAAAATAGCGCTAAATTGCAACACCATAGGGTGCCATAGTACAAATAATGAAATTTGTAAATTACATATAGGGCTAAATTGCAAAAGTTAGAGTGCCATAGTTGATTTAATGAAATTGGCGAATTAGATATAGGGCTTAATTGCAAAAGTTATGGTGTAATGCTAGAGTTAAAGAAATTGGTATACTACATATGGGGCAAAATTACAAAAGTTAGGGTGTAATAGTAGAATTAAAAAATTAGTGTACTGCATATGGGGCTAAATTACAAAAGTTATGGCTTATAGTAGAATTAATGAAATTTTTTTATTACATTTGGAGCTAAATTGCAAAAGTTAGGGTGGCATAATAGAATTAATGAAAATGATCAAGGAACAAGTACTTTAGACAGTGACAACTAATTGTTGTCATTACCTCTGAACTGGTTGAGCGACAGTGACGATGTTGGAACAATTATAAAATATGTATACATTTTAATTACAATGCCTTCCCCATTTTACTAATGAAAAACATAGGCTAAATTGTAAATGTTAGGGTGCCATAATAGAATTAATGAAATTGGTTTATTACACATGAGGCTAAATTGCAAAAGATAGGTGTCATGGTAGAGTTAATGAAATTAGTTTACCACATACGGGGTTAAAATGTAAAAGATAAGGTGTCATAATAGAATTAATAAAATTTATTTACAACATATGGGCCAATATTGAAAAATTCAGGGTGGCATAGTAGAATATTAATGAAAGTGAGTTGGGAACAATTACTTTAGACAATGACGAATAATTGTTGTCATTAACTTTGAACCGGTAACCACATTGTGATAATATTGGAAGTAGTCATTATAGGGCCTATTTCAGTTACAATATTTTTTCAAGTCGTCACGATGGTAATTTCCCGCCACACAGGCCAGTTGCGCGCCGCCTATATTGTGACGATTAATCCCGTGTTGTCACTAATGATGAGTCTACCCTCAGTCATTTATGATAACATCAAAAGTCGTTACTAAATTTGCTCAACTGTGACTACTTTTTCTGATGTCATTGAGAATGTTATCACAAAAGGCCAAATTTCTTGTAGTGTGTTCCGAGTGGCGCCCTTCCCTTTAATACTGGGGCAGGGTTCCTCCAAGAGCTGTTAGGATTATGTCTTTTTGAGATGGCCTACTTGGTAGGATCTGAAAATTTTCATATTCTTTTTCTTCATTTTGGATAGTTTAATTAATAATCTAGTTTACTAATTTGATCTGCAATGCAAGTATTGGGGTCACTGTCATCAGTTCAAATGATTTCTTCTGACTTTGTGGCTGCTCGTTTGTGTATGCTGCAGGGATTTATCAGTCAAGAAAAAGTGCATTCATTCAACTTGCCAATGTACTTTCCATCAATTGAAGAATTGGACCAGGTTATAAAAGCGAATGGCCATTTTAGAGATGAAAGAATAAAGATATTGGATCACCCAATGCAGCACTTGCCTTTTGATGCAAAAATGAACAGACCAGATCTATCTGTGAGGGCTTCATCAAAGATCATTTCGAAACAGACATTGTGGATCAGGTGTTCGATCTATTTGCTAAGAAACTTGAAGAGAATTGCTCAATCTTTGATCAAGAAATTCGCAAAGATGCTGACCTATTTGTTCTGCTAAAACGCGTCTGCAAAAACTGATACGCACTTTTTTATTGGTCATAATGCAGCACCGAAATTATTGTGACATTTCCTTTATCTCAACGGTTGATTGTAGCACCACAATTTGATCATGTTCCTGAGATTCAACTCTCCCCTCCAGTTGAGATTTTCTCGAGCCTTACTTTCTTTGCTGAATTCGGGTTCTCATTCAGTCATTCTTCTTGGCCATTATACTTTGATCTGAAAAGGATTAGATTACTGTTGTCCCAAATAATTGGTTCCTCGAGTCAAGTTTTCGGGGATACCTACTCGTCAGGTAATGCTTTGGCATGTTTACAATCTCATCCTCAACAACAGCTATCCTTATCCGTGAGGGAATGACATTCGAGCCAAAATTGCTTCAGATTGTGCAGATTTAATTATCGTATAATTGTACTACAGTAGTACTTCGTTTTTTATTATTGTATTTTCCCATTCCAAGTATTGTATCGGAGGTCAGGTTTTTGTCCTCCTCCATATATTTTTTATTTTCATCATAATAAAATTTAGACTAAGTATCCCTTCTCCGTCTTTGAAGTAACCCCCCCTCCCCCCCCCCCCCCCCCAAAAAAAAAAAAAAAAACTCTAGCCTAGAAGCATTAATCGTTGTATCTCTACAAGTAAGTTTTAGATAATCATGCTAGCTACCTTTAAATTTTCAGGCAACAACTAATGATAATATTATTCCAAATTGCATCACAATATATGGATTTTATATTTCAAGTAGGATCATTCAACTCTTGTATGAAATTCTACTCTTTGAACTTGGAAATCTTGTTAATGAAGAAAGAACGAGACAAGTATTTGTATCATTTTTATTTTGTAAAAATTTCCACTATCTTGTATTTGGGCACCGAACAAAAGATAGTGGTATCCCGTCTTTGTTTACCAAATATGGATTTTGTATTTCAAGTAGAATCACATAACTCTACTGCAAAACGTTACAGTTTGACTTTGAAATCTAGTTCTGGAGGAAAGCACAGGACAAGGATTTGTACCATCTTTGTTCATAGATAGTTGCACTATCTTGTGGTTGAGCATCGAACAAATATTGGGTAGGAGATACCTAATATAACTTGTGTATGGGAGCAACGGGAAACGCAATGGAAGTTATATTTTTAAGTGTGCTACATACTACTATTTCCGGAAAGGATGCCACAAACAGTGCAAGATTTCTGATTGAGACTTTTTTTTTTTTTTGGGTAGGAATAAAAGTTTCAATGAGTTCGATTTCGGTCACCACCAAGAGTTAAAACATGTTTTCGAAACTATAAGTCAATTGTAAGAATTCTTACAGATTGTCGCGGATTCAACAAGTGATTTTTGTGAAAAAATAGTTCTTTTTTATCAATTAAGTTAGTTTGAAATTCTAGTCATCCATTAGTTGTAAAAAAACACAATATGGTAAAAAATTTAAAATATTGATCCAAAATCTACTTCAAAATATACTACTAATCACGATAAGCGCACATTGATATCAGCAATCTGAATTTAGAAAAGAAAATGTCAAATGTGAATTATTTTATATTGGTTATTTAAGAATAATTGACGCTCTTTCTCCACAACTGATTGATTTCAATATCATTGAACAGTTAGCCACCATACACTTTGCTTGTTCTTCTTCACCTTTAGCTGTACTATAATCGACGACCTGTTGAACCCAAAATGTCAAATGTGAACATGTTAATTTTCTCACTTCCACTTCATGCACTTTTTAGTGATATACGACTAAATAATGCCACTAATGGTACTTTAAAAATTGTTCCAAGTCATAAAAACCTGATCAGCGTAATTTTTTTAAAGAATTTAAAGCAATAGCTTTCTAGCATGATGAACAACGTCACAATTGTTGTCATGGTGGTTGCTTGCTTCCACAATTTGTGCAAACACATCGATCCCTTTCGCGTAGTAGCTGGTTGTGTGTTTCTGTCGGTATATATGTATTGGTCAATGTTATAAATTCACCCCTCTTGCTTTTCACTGGCTAGATATTGCAAGTCCAATCATTAGGACAAGCAGCTTTGAACTAATCCCATATTCAAAGAATTAAAAATAAAACTTTGAACAAGAAGTATCCAATCGCTTAAGTTTTGGGACTAATAATAACCAATAAAACCTAGATAGGTCAAACTATGTTTTCTATTCCATAAAGTTTTCTAGCTGTTTAAGGTTCATAGGATGAAACATGTAATATATGTATGTATGTATATTCTAAAAGTTATATGTAGTAAATTAATGTGGTTCAAAAAAGATTACCAAAAGTAGTTGTTTGGCGATTTATCGCTTGCTCGATGATTGATCACATATTTTGTCGACAACGTAATAATAGGAATGGATATGATAGTCCAGATGAGAAGCAA